AATGAACGTCAAGCTCGGTTCAAACCCTGAATTCTTTCACTTGCGGTTGCACTGGTCCCACTTCATTCAATGAACAACGCGGCGCCGGCGCCGGCGTCGCGCTAAGTCTTGGACTATGAGCGCTAGCGGCACCACCGTCTCCACTGCTCGCACCTCGTTTCCAAAGTCCTTCCCACAGCTTCCCAGCATCGCTCCAGTTTGCGATGCGATAATGCATGCTGGATACTCTTTGTCTCAAAGAGCTCAGCCTCAAATAAGATGACGTTCATATCCCCGATTCTGTTGCAGTCCCCCTGGTTGATGCCACTCGACACCAACTGATTATCACTGTCAAGCATGCCAAGCAATACAAGTAACCGCGTCGGTTCCAAGCACGTGCCTTCTCACTCCCGGGGTCTCAAAAAGGATGTACCAGTTCAAGGGAGGCAACAGCAGCAGAGGATACAGCAGGAATATCCGCTTGCACAATGGAAAGACAGGCAGTCTCATGTGAGTTTGCGGTGTCATTTCAGCCTACTTTGAGCATAGATCCTACCCGTCTACTAACACATGGAGAAACAGAGTTTCTGGTCTTTTGCCTCAATGACCTTCGCCTTTGCGAACCATATCTGGCATCACGCCTCTCCTGAACTTCGCCGCAAGGTGGAGGACTTCGCGAAGCCCAGTCGTGGCTTGCTCACTTTCATTCAAGATGGGCCTCAGACGAGCATCAATGCAAAGGTTAGTGTGTTACTGATGATTTCATCTGGTCAACCTTTGCTCCTTGCCTCCAGCACCGTGATGCTGAGGCCGGCGAGGGAGTGCCACAGGTGACAACACCAGGAAGCTGCTCGACTAGAGCGCGCTCCTCTGCTTTCTTGTATCGCTGAACTATATACTCTCCCCACTGCATTACACGCCTAATGAAATTGGCGCTGATCCTGTTACCGTAGAACCGGATTACGGCGGTCTGTAGGGAAGAGCATCATGGAAATCGGCCCCAGCAGACTTCCCTTTAACTAGGGCTTGAAGTGGGATGGTTATACCGACCCTGAGCGGTCGCTGAAGAGGTTACAGACTTTTGCTGTGAAGGGTTGAATCGAGTGGTTGCCGTTTACGGGTATCTGACAGCTGTGGTGTTGCAATCAAGAATTTACTGCCCGGACATATTCGTATTCCAGTATCGCTGTGGCATTTACAGCTGC